TTGCTACAGGGCGCGTGCGCTCGCCAGACAGACAGAGAGAGACATAGAGACAGAAAGCAAGAAATCACTCCCCAGAGGGGATGGTCATGCCGCAACCCCTTCTCCTCTCGGGATCTTGGGCATGCACGCACACGCGCCCGGCGTGAGTTTTAAGCCACCGGGTCCAGGACGCGAACCGCGGTCGACTACGTGGGAGTCCAGCGACATAGCCATTGCGCTAACTGCTGGTTCCCAGTGGGGCATGTCTTGAGGGAGGACTCTGACCTATGGCAGCTGGCTGAGATACACATCCCATCTGCCTGCCTGTGTGACCAGAGCAGGTTTCCTAAACTCTCCCAACCTCCATTCCCTGAAGGCTTCCCAGAATTCCCAGTCGTGCTTGCCCCTGGGGGAGAATCGGCTGCATTCCATGTACTAATATGCCACAGCGCTTAGAGGGGCGCTGGGACCGCCAGGGGCTCCATGGAAGGAGCCAGCCTATTGCTGAGATGCTGGGCTGTCACTGCAGGACCTGAGCCTCCGGCAGCTCAGGTCAGGAGGTGCCCTGGAGCAGTCTGAGGGCCCAGACCAGGTCAAGCCCTGCCCCGGCCTGGCTGCCCTTATCCCAACTCCTCCTGGGCGTCTGGACCAGACCCTGGGCTGGCAGGAGCCAGTGGTGACACACCGCCCTGAAGTCTGCCTGACAGCCGGCGTGCAGGAGGGGCTATTCTGGGACCCACTGGCAGTGGGGGAGGGAGTGCTCCACCTCTCCGGAAGCGTGTGGCATTCTTGGCACCTCCAAGTCATCTGCTCCCCATGCCTCTGGCCCCGAAAGCAAAAATAACTCCTCCTGGGAGGGGCTCCCCCATTACGAGCAGGGCGGGGCTGCCCTGGTGGGGATAAAACAGATAAATAAAAATAATAGCAATAACAAGAAGGATCCCAGGTTGGTGGTCACTGGGGCCTCCTCCTTAACAGCTTGCTCCCAGCGGAGCAAGGGCAGGGCATGTGCAATCCGTTCCCACCTGACGAGGACAGACCTCAGGGAACTCTCAGGCACAGACACTGGCAGCCTCTGGCCTGTGCCGGGGGAGGTACTGGGCCTGCCATGGCTGCAGAGGTGACCCTGCCCTAGAAGGGCCTCAGGCTGAAGCCTTAGGATGGAGGGGCACACGGATAGGGGGAGGAGCCAGGGCGTGGCTTGGGGACCCCAATATAGCCAAGTGAATGAGGGAGGAGGGACCCTGCAGAGTTGTGGGGTGTGCCTGAGCCCAAGGCCCCAGTCCAGTGGGCCCTAAACTATGTCTGGAGCCTCTGCAGGCAGCAGGGTTTCTGAGGACTGGATTTTGTGTGTGCAGAATGACTCCTGAAGCCACTACCCAGGGTTGGGGTGGTCCCTGAGGATCCCCGGGAAGTAGCCTCCTCAGCCTACTCTCCACAGTTGGTCTCTCACCTACCGCAGCCCCTGCAAACCATTTCCTGCCCCCTTCCCCGTGAGGAGCCACCCCCTGCAGTGTGGTTCTCTGGGAGCCACAGCTTCCCTCCACTGGCTTCCAGTGAGTGGGGGAGTTGGGGGTAGAGGCTGAGAGGGATGGCAGCCGAGAGGGTCCTACCGCAGGGAGGGGTCACTGACTCTGTGGCTTGCAGACCTTGTTTCCTGCAGACTCCCCTGCAAGAAAGAACTCCTGTGCTGGCCCAGCTCCTTGCTCACCTGTGACCGTCCTTGGACACTGGTCATTCCGAGAGTGCAGGGGTGGGGGTGCAGGCAGCCCAGAGGTACTGGATACTCAGTGCCTGCTGCTCTGCAGGAACAGGCCCCAAACAACACACTTATGATGTGTCAGAGGTCATAGGCCAGCAAGGGGGAATAAAGCAGAAGGTGGGATTTGGGATGGGGTGGTCAGTGCAGGGGGAGCTCTCCATTGGAGCCCAGACTCAGAGGTGAAGAAGCCACAGAGACACTGGGCTTGGGGGTGCAAGTGCAAAGGCCCTGAGGTGGGGACATTATTGTGCCAGCCTGAGGGGACAAGAACAGGCTTTGACCAGTATAGGGCCAGGGAGATCTGCTAAGGCTGAGAAAGACCTGATTTAGTGGGGTAGGAGGGGGGGCTGCTGACCTCTTGGGCTCTACATGAAAGAGGGGACAGATGCAGAGCTGGGACACTTTAGGCTTAGGTGACCGTCAGGGTAGAAAGGGAGAGGCAGGCAGACAGGTGGATGAATGGGAGGACTGAGAAAATCAACCATTCGACATATTTGTTAATTTTTTTAAATTATTACTTAATTTTATTTATTCATTTTAATTTGACAGAGAGAGACACAGAGATAAAGAGAGAGGGGAAATGAAAAAGCAAGCTACAAGGTCCAGGACTTGAACCATGGTCTGCCATGTGGGAGTGTCCAGCACCTTAACCACCACACCACCTGCTGGTCTCCTGCTTATTTGTTAAGTTTATGTAATGACCTATCTGTAAGACACATCTGTTTAAGCTTTTTATTTTCTTACATTTAAAAAAAAAAAAAACGTATTGGGACCAGCAGTTAGCATAATGGCTATGTTGGTGGACTCCCATGTACTCGACCACAGTTCAAGTCCCGGGCTCAGTGGCTTAAACTCATGCCAGACGCATATGTGTGCATGCCCAAGATCCCAAGAGGAGAATGGAGGAGGAGGGATTGCAGAGTGGCCATTCCCCTGAGGGTGTGATTTCTTGCTTTCTGTCTCTCTGTCTCTCTCTTTCTGGTGAGTGCACACGCCTTATAGCAAAAACCTCTCAAAA